AAAATAAAACATAAAGAGTAATGCAGAACCAGTGCCTTATAGAAATAACAATGGAAATAAAATAAGTTATGTGAGACGGTAAACTATTACAGCAAGAGAAAGGAGTAATGTTGATGATAAGAGGAGCGAGTAATATGGAAGTAATATTGCACATATATGATGTGAACATTGGAGTATTGCACATGAAGAAAAGTAATGAATAGAAATATAAAACATGAGCAGTTTAAAAAGTTATATTGCACATGATATTGAACATTATGCTGCTAAATGTTGTAATTATACATATGAATAGTAATATTGCACATTAAAAAAGTTGTATTGCCCATGATGTTGAACATTATATGATGCTAAACGTTGTACTATTGCACATGAATGTTAATATTGCACATTAGTTGTAACAATGAATTGTGTTATTGCACATGACAAAAGGTAATATTGCACTTAGTGTGCAGGAGCCTGATGTTGTTGTGTTACAGAACTATTGTTGTCTTCTAGGCCTCTAACGTAATTCCTAATCACACAACATCCTTCGTTGGTGACGGTTGCGAGTGCGACTCCCCCTGTTCCCGGGGCAGGGGAGCGGGTCGCGAGGGAGCGTGTAATTGGCGGAGTCACGTGTTCTCACGACGGGAACGGGCACAGCCAGCTCGCGAGCGAATGAGAGCGAAGAAGGGAGGGAGGGAGAGAGAGAGGGAGAGCGAGCCAGAGAGAGAGAGTGAAAGAGAGAGAGGGATCAGTACAGAGGTGGTGTGAGTGGAGAGAGGGATCGAAGGGACGAGAGAGAGAGACATGATCGACGGATCTGAAGGCAGAACGCACCTCGTACCATGCGAGCGAAACTGGTGACCGATGGGATCGAGGATGTCGGATTAATGGTGACCGCCGCAGCCCGTTTTCGCAGAGGAAGCTTCTCTAACGCAACTTGGGCGCAGAGGGTCCGCGGGGAAACATGGCCGAAGGTTATAATCTGCAATTATTACCACTATCGTTATTTCTTCCTTCAGTTCCTCTGCTGGGCTCCTAGTTTTTCCCTTTCGCTCCCTGAATCTGCTAAGCGCGTGGAAGTAAAGGGGGGGGGAGGAGGAGGAGGAGGAGGAGAAGAAGGAGAAGGAGAAGGAGAGGGAGGAGGAGGAGGAGGAGTAGTAGTAGAGGAGGAAGAGAAGAGAGGAGAGAGGAGGGGGCAAGGTGCAACGTGATTATTGTTCCAGGGCTTTCAAAAAAATATTTCAACGACCTGAATCTCCCCTGACGAGCAGCGCGTGCTGAGCGAGTTTCTCTGCATGGATTTGTCAGAGCTGTACAGTAGCTCGAGGAAGCGCGCGTGTGTGTGTGTGTGTGTGTGTGTGTGTGTGT